GCTAACAAGCCGCAAAACAGTTCGGTTACGAGACGCCGATCGAAATTTTAGCAAAAGTTTCTGCCCGTTCTCGTCCCCGAGGATTTACGCGAAAACGATCGGCCGTCCCATTTCCGCACTCGACCACGCGGAGAAGCCCTTAACTCGTCGACGAAAAGCGAAAGTTTTTCCCCTTTTGCCGCGACGAATCGTTGGCGCCGAGAAATCGAAATCGAATTTAAAGCTTGCCGATAAACGTGGAGATTAATGCGGCCGCGAAACGCGCTCCGAATACGAACGAAAACGATCGTTTCCCCTGTACCGTGGCGGAGAACCGCCCACGATGGAATTACGAGCAGCCATTTCGGAAAATACCGAACCGGCTGTGCACCGAGCTCCAATTATTTCCCAGACTAGCTACCGTTCGAAACCTGTGAATTTCAACGCTGCCAACCGAACCGGAGAAGAGGAATTCGAGCGCGATGCATAACGCGCACCGGGATACGTATTTACTTGCGCGCGTTTACGACCACAGACGGTTGTTTCTCTACTCCGGAAACCTTGGACGATAAATCGCGCGCCTACACAGACGACGGAGAACGTAGGGAAATGGCGATCGCGGCTCGAAAGTTGGCCAGCGCGTCGTCGTCCGTCCAAGTTCCGGCTGCGTGCAATTCGACGAAAGACTCGTGCGACGACGGACGCGCGCAAAGGCGAGCGCGACGTGCGACCCGCTGAAGAAAGTGGAAAGGTGTAAGGCGAGAGGCAGCGAGCGAGGAAACTCGCGCGAAAAGTTTAGACGAAAAAGTTAACGCTCGAGAGACTACTTGCGACTCATGAAAGTCAAGTTGATGGTCGTACGTAAGAGCGATAGCGGAAACGTATGCGCTGCGGCAACAGAGGACTCGCTGCTGCTCCCACTGAAACACCTAAGTGCCACGTGCTCCGATCTTTCTCTTCTTTCGAAACTTTCTCTTCGTGCGATCGCGAGAAGACGGATCGCCGAACCGACCACGAATCTGCTCGACGAGATAAAATGGGAACGCGAGCCATCCCAGCGCGTGGTCGCTGGTCGACGGTCGACGAGCAACGACCGACGACGACCGAGCGTTCATTTCGATTCGAAACGCGCGCGCGTGACCTGTCATCGTCGATCTCCACGAGTCCGATTCGTTCGCGTTTCGTCGCCACGTTCACACCCATCAACTCCATCGTGACGATTGCCTATGCGAATGTTCCAAATTTTCCAACAAAATTCAATCTCTACGGTTCGTTCGATGCTTTGAAGCATTGGCTTGGCAACTAAGTGATTGCGGATTTTGTCATTAAGTGGTATCGACAAAATCCGCGATCACTTAGTTGCCTACCCAGTAGAACCGGCCGATACGAGTAGCAGGATAATCAGAGACATTTTACGGTTGATATAATTTTATCGAAATTTATTTGAAATATCGATGTATCGAGACGCGCGGCTAATTAGACGTCCGTATAGCTCGTAAAGCAGGTGTAATTAGAGACGAACGCGTGGAAACGCTTCTTCTTGCACGCGGTGATATTGGAAAAGCGATCGGAGATTCGCTTGGTGGTCTCTGGTGGCAGAAAGTCTTAAGTCCCGACACTAATCTTGCGTCTAACTTTATGTAATCGCCCGATTAATCAATTTCTCCATTTTTTTTCTTTTTGTCTAAGAATTTACATTAAGTTAGACGAACGAAAAAACAATTTCAAATTAGACTTTCAGACCGGACATTCTGGCGGGCCAGGTAAGGTTAGTCGTGCAACGTATAGAACGTTCGATCCAAAATTTCCAAATACCAAAGTGGATGGTCCCCCAAATTTTTGATCGACTTTCGTGCGCGTAAAAGCACGACAAGATACTGCGAATATTCGAGGGAAATCTCTTTGAAATTCCCTCGTTTGGAAGAAAAACGTGTAAAAAACTGATCGAACGAGTTCGAGGCAGTCGCGTTCGCGGTATATTCCGTATACTTTGACCTGCCAAACTCGCGTGCTTTGACGTCCACGTTGACGATAGCGCGAAAAACAACGGAGCACGTTCGCGGTCGCTGGACGTCGGGGCCGACTGGCCCACACACCGCGTGGACGAAGACTCGCGTTATGGCACCTTTCGGTCTCTCGAAGCTTCCTCTGTTCGCTAGTCGAGAGTGAGCAAGGCCAGGTGGCCGCCGCGGGTGTTCCAACTTCTATTTTCTTGCGAACGACTCGATACATCGAGATGTACCCAACCGCGTTCGTCGTGGATCGATCGTAAAGGAAAAAGGAATATAATTTTCAAATCGAACGAAAGGAACACGCGCACGGGCGCCGAAGAAGCAGAGGGTGAGGTGAAAAAATCGAGCGCGAGTTGCTGGTATCGCGATACTCTGGCGTGCTATCCAGGCCAGGCGATAATCCGTCCCGTTGAATCGACCGAAAATCAATAGCCTCGTGACGCCTCGCCACGGACAATGCAGACTTCTCTCGAGCCTTATCTCGTTCACGTCCGATAAATCGTATTCGCGATATACTTTTGTCGGTGTGCGCTGACAGGCAAACCGGTGCCGTTACGACGCGATTATTTCTCGGGCCGCGAGCACGCCCGCCACTGTGAACGGGCCATCGACCAACGATTGCACCGTTAACGTTCCGTGTGCGCGTTACGGCCAACTTCGTAATTGATCTCGATAACGACGAGAACGGGCGAGCACCGGTCGCCGCGTTGGTCACCGCAAAGGCGACCCAACTATCAAAAGCCGCGAGCTAAATATCTCCGCCTCTGTACGTCCAAACTTGTTCTTTTTTTTTTTAATGCATATATGCATTTACCCATTTACCGAATGCCCATGTGGATAAAATGTAAAGTGCAAATTAAATAATAATAAAAAGAAATATACGTATTTAACGATTTGCAGCGGAGAGGTGACTCTCTCGGTCGTCGCGTTTGCTTCGACGCGGTGACGACGTCTATTTAGGTTTGATTTCTGTGGAACTCGAAGCTTCCACGCCGATACAACTTCCTCGCGAATGGCTTCCTAAGCTTTCTACGTGCAATCGTTCGAAGCGTAGAACGATACGCTTAGTGTGGCCATAAGATTTTCTTATTTCAAGTCGGTCCGTGATCACGGATCGAGCTGCGTCATCAGCGTCGGTCCAAGCTTGGCAGTCGCGGCGATAGCGATATCTTCAAATTTTATGAACCCTATGAGCATGGATTGTGGTAGCGAAATCGGCTCAAGCGGAGATAGGTTTGATCTTTCATCGTTAAACGACCAAGTTCCATTTGTACGCATGGCACTCGACGGTACAGAGATTCGAGATACAAACGTGCTAAAAGTATTAAAATACGATAGTTTCTTACGTTAATTTGCATATGAAATCATTTTAAGCTTGCAAGGAGTACATCGAACAAGCGGCAAATCGTCTCGAGTTGGGAGGCAGGGCCCAGCGAAAAGGCCTCGAGCGCAAAGGTTAAATCGATTACCAGGAAGCGCAACGCGATGAGGATTCTTCCAGGGGAAAGAACCAATTTCCCTCGTCCTTTAGCTCTCGACCGGAGCTTTCTAAACGTTCGAGAGTTTCGCTGTCGGAAGAATCGTCGCGCGAGAAACAGTCGAGTAACCAGCGAGTAATACAACGTTCGTTTTAATACGCCAACTTCCGACTGCGCGTCACCGCGAAAATATTTTCGTTCGGTCGGTCGTTTAATCCGAAGCTACTCGATAAGCGAAGCAACGATTCGCGAGCGGCTTCTCTACGAAGCAGTAACGCGAGAATCCAAGTTATCGGAGACGGATCCGAGTTGCTGGTGCAACGCATTCCAACCACTGCTGTCCGAAGGTATCGGTATCGCGTATCTGCCACTCTGTAGTTTCTACGGTGCGACTAGCGCGAAAGCGTCGACAGGAAAAACCGCTCTTATCGACGAAATCCAGTTTCGTTGGCGGCAGGAAAGTCGAACGGCGCGCGATACGTCGCATTTGTAAATCGTCACCGATTAATCCGATTCGATTCGCGTGTCCAACGATCGATGCGAAATCGTCGAACGACGTATTCTGTAGATCGCGGCGCGAAAACGCGACCCTCGGTGAAGCGCGACGAACGTTTTGTCCGATTTGACCGCAATTACCGAGCAACGATTGCGTTACATCGCGCTTTATCGAATTAATGTATGCGCGAGTCGTGTCACCTCTCTGCCCCGTCACCCCACGCGCAGCCGGACGAAAACTACATTTTCACCCGTTATTAATACGGTTACGCGTCACTCTACCCCACCAACTTTCAAATTTATGTCGCACGATCGGACGCCGTCGATCGGACGTTTCTAGGCTACAGTGTAACGTCGTTTGGGCGCGCGATGCGTCGCGAAACTGGATGAAAAAGCGCGATCGAATAAATTCCTGACGCGACCGAAAAAAACAAGATGAAAAACGACCAACGATCCGGCCACGTTTCATTTGTTCGAACACGTGGAGAAAAATCCAGCGTATCGCTCCTGGCTGGCAACTCTGATATTTTCTTCTTTTCCGTTGCGGCGTATTTTCCGAATTTCCCGCCACTCGAAAATAAAACTGCTACGACTCGCGCGTGTCGCTATCAGCGCGACTCGAAAGAACGCCGAGACGCGTTCTTTATTTACAGCGCTTTTTTCTCTTCTTTTTTCGAACGTTCGCCGTTCTACGTCGACGAGAACTCGACCAAACTGCAAACGTTCGAAAACCGACGCAACGATAAGCGGAGGAACGCGTGCTGTCGAAAAACTCGTCCCCTCTACACCGACGTTATTTAGTCGCGGTATTGCTCTCGATGCTCGACCAAGTAGTCTTTCATCGAGTATTTACAATGCTGTCGAATCGACGCGATTCACGCGTTATGAGCTTGCAAAAGCGATCGATTCTCGCGTACGAATCACCGAGCAGGTTAACTCTGTCTTCGTACACGTAATTGTCGCGATATTTCTACAGCGAAATGCGAAACGCGAGGAACGAAAAACACAACGACTAGGATAAGGGGAGAGAGAGAGAGAGAGAGAGAGAGAGAGAACCGTTTTATCGCGACTTTCGAATCAAACAAGGCAGTTCGTTGCACTTGAATTTACCGGTTGGGTTCCGTTGACTATCGTTCGTCGAGAGATGATATCTCCATTCCCAAGCGTATCCTCTCGAACGAAAAGGAGACGGTAAAGCACTTGGTGTGACAAGAAGGATGCCAACCAGACCCCGCCTATCGTTCTTCTACCTCGTTAAGCCAACTCGCGATCCAGCTTTTATTTCTTCTCCCTTCTATCCTCTCCTACACCCGGAACTCGTGACCGCGATGAATCGTGCCGATAGCTTCGCGATTAGCTGCCGCTTTTCCGGAATATTTTTTAGCCGTTGTCCCTCTTCTATCTCAAGGTTCGACCCTCGTGTACCGATCCGATCGACCGAGTGCTTCGGATCGCTGCTTTCTTCTTCGTCGCGTGGCTACAAATTCGCAGCAAATTAGCCTACTTATCGAACGACGACCATCGGTTCGACCACCGTTGCCGGACGTTCGAGAACCGAAGGAAAACGATAGTCCGGCTATCGTGGAAGAGGATCGAGTTGGAGCAGATGAGAAACTAAGGAAAACTGGATGCCCCATCGACGCTCGTTGCCTGTTCGATCGTTAACTTTCTTCCTACTTGTAGCCTACAGTTGTCGTCCTCTTTTTACGTTGCGATCTATCGGCGCGCGGGGCAAAACTTTTCTCCTCGTCGAACCTTTCGAAGCCGACTGTTTCCACGAAAAACGAGAAAGAGAGAAAAAGACGCGGCGACGGAGAAATTGAAATTGACCGCGACTAAAAACGTGCCTTCGTGGAATCGCGAACCGACGCCAGTTTGCTCGTGTTTGCTTCGCGCCGGTCGATCGATGCAAAAGTTTCCAACAACCGATTCGCAACTTCTCGACCGAATTCCGTTTCGGTAACATCTTTGATCGTATTCGACGTTCGATTTCCAATAGCCAAGTAAGTGCATACTTGGGTACGTCGCTCGAGACGTCGCGTCGTTTCAAGTAAACGTGATCGATTTGCGAGCGGCCGGTTATGTTAAGGATGATGAATAGTCGGCTGGCGGCTGACAGAACCATGTCTATAGGAGAATCAGGTGTCGAGGTTGTGGTTTATTTGCCCTCGACGATCCGCGTTCCACGCTCTTTTCGTCCATTATCCGCTATAAATCAAGCGTGTAGGCCGCGTGTTACCCTAATTGACGGGGCGAACGTAGGCCAGAACACGGCTATCGTCGCATCGGTGTCTCATTAGCGAATAACGCGTGTTCGTGGCGGAAAAGACAAATATCGCGTTGCGAACGGTACTCGATTTCGCTGATTCCGCGAGTAACGCCGGACAAACCGCTAACAGCCAACGATTACTTTTCGAATTACATCCTCCTACCATCGTTCCATCGAAAAAGGAGGCAGCGAGTTTTTCGTACGACACAGGAACCGCATTCACTTGGCTCACTTCGATCGTATCGATAGACTTTGCTCGACTGCGAACTACGCTAGCGAAATCGTTTCTCACGGACCCGTAACCTCCTTCGAAGCGTCCGTTAATATCTCGAACGTGATTGTAAAACTCGTCGTTATATTTAGCGCTGGATCTTTTTTATATCAGCTCGTGTATCCGATACCGGAAAAGCCGATTAGATAAATAAATAAATAAACAAATAAACGACTATCGGACGCACGGCTTCGTTTCAAAAATATCCAACTAGAGCGTAAGGACAAAGGTGAAGAGAAGAAATAATTCGGGTTAAACCTTCTTTCTATGCAAAGTAGTCAAGCTATTGCATAAGTCCGTTGGCCGCTATTCTCCCGCATCGATTAAAAAATTTAATAAACGACCGGAGGTCCCGGTGCGATTAAACGCTATTTAACCATAGCAAGAACGTGTTACCCATGGGTTTTTCTCTCGTCGAGTCCCTCGATGAGAGACCGGACGCCGTCGTTCAAACATGACGTAATTAATAAACGAAATACAAGAACGAGTTTACATCGATAACCCGCGTCGTGTCCTCGATACGTGATCCTATCTGGCCGGCCGAATAAACATCGATTAAAACGACGAAAAATAAACGAGTCGGTTTCGTGGAAAACGATCGCGGGGCAAAGGAGCGAAGGAACGAGAGAAAACGGACGCGATCGATTACGAGGACGCCATTCGCGCGGTCGAGAAACGTTCGCATTCCACGACCGCACTGGTGTGGCGCATCGCTGCAACGAGCGTTTTACGAGACGACGTATCACGACGAACGCGTCGACCGTGTCCGACCAGTCGCAGGCTGTTTCGTTTTCGTTTCGATCGGCGAACTCGCCGATGGAAAATTTCGTTCGACCCAGTGACCGGCGCCGCCATCGCCGAATCTCCTTCGATGCGTTTTAAACGGACGTTACACTCCGTCGAGGTCTCGAACCGTCGCGTCCGACGCTCCCGCGATTCTCGAGAATGGACAGCCAGTCGATACGCAGAGATATCGAACGCGTTCCGTCTACGCGTTTTCGAGAAATAAAACGATGCCGATTCGAATCTGCGGATCCTCGTGGCGCGTCGGCGACCGACGTTGCCTGGCCGCGTTTCCGCAAACCGGGTTAAACAGTTTGCTGGAAAATTAAGAAGAACCGAGCGTACCGGCCGTGATTTATATCGCCCGCTCTATCGCGAGTTATTTAAAAGGCTGACACTATAAATCGCGAAACTGGCTGCCGCTTCCCAAAGTATCGCCGTTTCGCGTAGATACACGCGCAAGCTCTTCGCCGCAGTTATAACGGCGGCTGGTCTTTCCGAAGAAGCATCAGCGTATCCGACATCGCGAAACTTTTCGCATTTTCTTCTCGGGTCTTTTATCTTGCGCGACTGTTGGCAATAAAACCAGCGCTCCGACTCGACCGAGTCTGTGCACGCCAGGCCACCTCCGCCGTCCTCTGCTTCTTCTCCGCCGCTCTTTCATTCGCGTACGCTTGAAATACGGTTCGAGAGATCGCGATTCACCTACGATCGGACAACTTGTGCCATATACTTTTCATAAAGCGCTGTCTCTCTTCCTTCCCGCAACATTTACTCGTAGACGGAACGATATATACGAGACGATAGAACGGCACGCGATAACGGCATTAAAAACGACGTGATTTTCGCGTTTCGGTCGGCCCTCGGTAACGAACGAACGAGTGTCGCGTCCGACTCTGCCATCGGCGACGACGACGATGACGACGACGACGACGACGACGACGCCG